GGCGCCACGAATGGCAAGACTCCATATAGTGACTGATCGACCGAATTTTCATTGGCCGGGCGACATAAGCCAAAATCTGAAATTGTTGAATCAAAGCTCTTTTCGCTGTAAATTCTATTCAAGACGTTGCCACTATGTAAATCTTTATGGTAATAATTATTTTCGTGAATCTTATGTAACCCAAATACAATATTAGAGAGCATGTAAATAACCATTCTCCAAGTTATATTAGAGTAACGTGTTCGAATTAAATTCCTAAGATTTCCACCAGGCTTAAACTCAGAGACTATAATATATTCTTTTGTTTGAGGATCGCGAGTAATGCCATACAACCGATTAATACCAAAGCTATTAAAATTTAAATTGCACCTAATCTATATAGAACAGTTAATTGGATATACGAAGCTTTATTTTAATCCTTTAAAAAAGTCATGTTTTATGATGCATACCTCATTTAAAAAATCTAACGTCAAATTTGTGGAATTTCGAAGTCTTTTCAAGGCTACTTTAGTTTTACCAGCTCGTTTCCATTTCGATTTTTCATGGCTCCACGCGAACCCTATTTTTGTTAATGGTCCGTCTTTCCAAATAGCTTTACTAATGCTTCCAAAACCACCTTCTCCAATAGGTTTAAATTTTTCGAAATTCGAATAGTCTATCCATTCAATTAATTCTCCCGTTCTATTTGCATTAAGTTGTGATTCTTGAATTAAGTTATTAATATTCGAGTCACCACTATCCCAAAATTGAAAATTTTCACTAAAATGTTTGGCATTGCAATCTTTGCAATAATAAGATTGATAATCAAAAGGACTAAAACAATAATATATATCCTCCTTGCATTCGGGACATTTTTCCTTAATTTTTACTCCCTCGGTATTCATTATTTAATTGGAATTTAAAAAAAACGATCCCATGATGTATGCTTAATAAATACAGTAGGGAAACATTAGTGTGTACAGTATTACAGCCGAACGCCCAGTTACACAATTTTCGAATTAATACATAACCTACTCGGTTTTTCGAATTCTGCATATTAAAATTATAATGCTAAATTAAAATACAGGATCCGAATTTGACATCATATTAAAATGTTCATATAAAACGATATTGATGATTTGATCGATGACGCTGCTTCAGCGGTTTACAAAAACATTAGCAACATCAAAATAAAATAAAAAAATTATGTTATTAGAAATAATGATTGAACATAAATTAAAAAATATTATGATATTTTGATTATTTTTTTTAAAAAACATAAGTTAACCAAAATATTATAAAACATTTTATAAAATTTTTAATTATTAAAATTAATAATTTACAAAGAATTTTACAAATTTGTGTTTTTTTATAATATTGTTAGCGAATACAAAAACAATTTAATTATTTATGGTTACTTATAAGATTAAATTTCGTATTATTTTAACCAATTAATGTAAAAAATTTTGAAAGACTTGATACAATTCTTATTAAATTTTAAATAATATATACAGTATATTTTTTTAAAAAAATTGTATTTTAAACATTTAATATCTTCTAATAGTTTTCTAATAAAAGTATATTTTTACATTTAATAGTTATTGTGTATTTGAAAAACTTTTTTAATTAATTACTTTTAAAAATATTTTCAATTTTTTTTTGTAAATATTTTATATTATTAAAAAAATTAAAATATAATTTGTATAAAATAGTTATTACAATTATTTAATTAAAAATTATTTAAAAACAATATCTTAATAATTTTTTTTAAGTAGATAAATACCATTTTTTTAATTTTTTGTATATACAATGCATTGCAAAACTTTTTGGAATTTTATTTATATAACATAAATGTAAATAACTTTTTCAAAACAAAAACAATTCATGTGAAATTTTAAATATATAAACAATATATCCTAAAAATATATATATATATTCTTAAAACTTCAATTTATTATTATTATTTTATAAACAAACTCTTACAATATTATCTTTAGAAAAAAATATACAACAACAAACTATATTATATTTGTGAAATAATGGAATTACTTCTGCAAATGAAATATACTTCAGAACTGGCATAAATATGTCAACAATCTATTATAATCTTAAAAAATTAAACTCTAAAGATGATAATTCAAAAAAACTAGGTAAAGATTGTCCTAAAAAGATTACTTCTCATGTATTAAAAACAATTGGTTAATATTTATATTATAATCCAAGACTTTTTACAAGAACTTTAGTAATTAAATTAATTAAATTATTAAATATTAATACCAAAGTATCATATTTAACTATTTCAAAACATTTGATAAAAATGGACTATAAAAATAACTTATCTTTGAAAACACCTATGCTTATTACTGCTCATAAAGAAGCTCATATAACTTGGGCAAGAAAACATTTTTATAACAATTGAATAAAAACTTTATTTTCTGATAAAACAACATTTCAACTATTTGGAAATACAATTAAACAGTGATACAAAAGTGCAAGATCAATTAAAAAAATGTCTAAAAATCATATAAAAATTTTTGTATGGAAAGAATTTTGTTCAAAAGGAAAAACTTCTTTTTTTTGTTTTAAAGAAATTATGGATACAAAATTTTATATTAATATTTTGTAAAAACATAAACAAGAAATTGAAAAATTGCTTGAAAACAATTGATGCTTTCAACAAAATAATAATTTCAAGTATACTAATAAAATTATTAAAAAATTTTTAAATAAAAATTTTCTAAAATTATAGATTGACCTTCTAATAGTCCAGATTTAAATCTTATTGAAAATCTTTGGTCTATTGTTAAAAGAAATATAGAAATAAGATTATCTCAAAATTTTTTAGAATTAGAACAATTTATGTTTTGTTTAATTTTTTGCAATTAGTAATTAATTAATTTAAATTTTTAATCAATTATTATTTAGAAATTTTGATATAATCAAAAATTTAGAATCAAACTAAAATAAACAAAATTTTTTTAAAATATATACAATATATATATATTTAATAAAATAAAAAAAGACTTAAAGAAAATAATAAAATATTTAAAAATCAAGCAGTTATTCTTTTTTAAATTTCAAATTTCTAAAAAAAAAAAGAAATATTTTTTTAATATTTTTTTTTTAACAAAATATTTTTATCTTTAACTATATAATACAGAAAGTACCCATATTATTGTGGACACTTTTTATTATACAATAAAAAATTTTTTTAATAAAAAAAATTAAATTTATTATAACAAAATTAAATTTATATATTATAAAGCATATTATATTTAAATTTCAAGTAATATAATAATTCACTCAAAATATATAATAAAAAACTTTAAAGGTATAAATTATTATCAAATCAAAAATCAAGAAACTATTATATATATATATATATTTATTTTTTATTTAATAAAAATATAAATGAAAACATATTAATTTGTATTACTATTTTTTTTAATTTTTTTAAATAAAAAAAATTACATTTTTACCTTTTTTTAGTTAAAAAATAAAAAAGGAACCATTATCTATGGTTACCTTAGAGAAGATTCATATCATATTATCACTACTAATATTGGCTGTAAAAAGTCTTCTGTGGAAAATATTATAGGTAAGTATCATAAAACAAAAACTACTGAACTGCAAAAAAAACATCCTGGACTGTCTGCTACTTCTTACTGCTTCCGATTGTTCTGCTCTTAAAACTCTTGTAACTAATAGAAACCATCATTTAAATGCTGCCCAAGTTGTCATTACTTTTATTGCTAAATCAAACTTTATATATCAAAAAAAAACTATTCATCATACCCTAAAAAAAGAAAATTTAAGATCTTGCATTACATGCCCAAAACCACTAATCTCTATCATTAATATATTGAACAGACTTACCTGGTATTTTGCTCTCAGGGACTGAACCACCTGACACTTCAAATATATTCTTTAATCAGATGAAACATCTATTTAGCTTTTCCAGCAAGTTCTTTTCCAAATTTGGTGCAAACTATATAAGGAATGGGACACTGAATGCCTAAGCTATACTGTTAAATGAAGCCCTAGCCATATGTTTTGGGGTTGCTTCTCTTGGCACAGAACTGGCTCTCTAGTTCTATTAGTTAATAATGTCACTGGAACTTTGTATATTGAGATTTTGTACAAATATGCCATACTCACCTTAAAAAAATATTCAGGAAACACAGATCGTGATCGTTCTTTATTTCAGCAAGATAATGCAAGACCTCATATTTCAAAAATTACCATTATATTTTTTGAAGATCACAAGATTAGGGTATTAGACTGGTCTGCTCAAAGCCCTGATCTGAATCTTATCAAAAACCTCTGGCATGAGATCAAGATATCTTTATGTCACAAACCAAAACCTAGTAACTTTGTTGATCTTGAAATTCTTGTTAAACAAGCCTGGCGAGACGTTTCATCAGAAATTTGTTGCTGATTAGTAAATAGTATGTCAGATTATATTGCAGCTTATATTGCTGCTGATAAAAGCCCTACAAAATACTAAAACTTAATATTAGCTTTGAATTTTTTTTTTTAAAAAAAAAAGATTTTTGTTTGATTTGTAATTTTGGTTTGATCATAATTTGTAACATGAAGGTTTTTTGATTATAAATTTCAAGTAAATCATTACAATTATATGAAATTTAAATATAATATACTGTTATACTTGATCTTTACTCAACATTTTATCTTACCCTTGTGACAATCCACTAGTATTTAGCCCCTGAAATATCTTTTTCTTGTTCTAGAATTTCTGTACTATTGATCTACTGTAGTACTTTTGCCTATTTCGCCTACTTAACCATCTTTGCCTATTCTGAAATATTCTTTAATTTTATTTACTATTATCACTTTGCTATCTTCACCAGAGTATTCATCTCTATCAAAGTAAGTATAGTTGACTATTTTGATGAAGATATCATCTCTTCCATAGTTATTATCTTTATCAAAGTATACTACTATTATGTATGCAAATCATATATTAAAAATATGTATATAAATGCCTCCAATTCCTCCTGGAATTGCAAGGTTGAACTTTCCTCTTTATTAATAAAATAAC